GGGAAGGCGGGGGCACCGCCTGGACTCCCGGCAGGGACAGATACACAAACACAAGGCACACTAGGGTCGATACTGAGCGTTTATTACCTCTGCGTCTAAGCAGGGGTTCCCCAGCGATTTCCCGATCGAGGCAATGATGGAGCGGGAGAGTCCCTGGCACCACTGAGCGTCGGTCCAGGGCGAGGAACACCTCGGGGGGCACTGTGTGAGGTTTTTATGGACTACACACATGTGCAGCAAGCATATTGAGCTCATCACTCATCTCGATTCAAAGCCCAGGTGCAGCGCCACACTGGCACAGGCTCAGCCACGTGACTATGGACCAGCATGCCCTGTAGAAGCTCCTTTTCCCACGGAACGGTCTGGCTAGCTTCCATCGCCTATCTCCTCCACATTCTGCTGCATTTTCCCATACACATAGAATTGATGCAACTTTCAGAATATGATGTTCCCCCCACTGAGAAGTTCATCATGAATAGCATGAGAGGAAAACAAAGAATTTTCAGTAGTTTTCACCCATTTCAATATAAAAACACCTGAAAGTTTTCAAGTATAAGTGAGAACCCTAATATAACAAAATTTAAAGAAAAAACAGTTGCTTTTCTTAGCTACTCTTCAGAGAGCCTTTAGGAAATAGCCCCCCAAGCCCCTGAAGATCTGTTGCAAAAAAGTTGAAGAACATTTATCTATACAAACACTTCCTGTTCCTAGGGCAATAGCTGGTAAGCAATGGGGAGCATCATATCTGAACAACTTCTTTAGGTCACATTTACTCCTACTTAACACTATGAGACTACCACATATTCTTTTTTTTTTTTTTTGAGGGGCTGCAACTATGAAGAAATGCATGGTACTCCCCAACAAGTATCCTACTGTTGGCCAGATACAGTTTTTTGCTAGCATATCAATCCAAGAACCTGCTCTTCATTAGAGGTCAGACCAGCAGAAGCATACAGCAAGCATTCCATTGATAACGAAGTAATATACCTATTTTCATCAGTAAGGCTTCAACCACAGCAACTATAAACCCCTCAGTCATCCAATGTACAAAGTTATAAATGACCAAAGCTACTTGCTTTTTTGCAAAGAAAAATTCTACGAAGATAAAATTAGTATAATCCAAAAGCATTTATAATGAGCAAACTCTTTAGGATCAAAATTGAAGGAATCAGAATAGGAATATTCACAGCCATTGCTTTATTCTCCATCCTTTTGATGGAGAATTAATTATTTTTAGGAGCAGACAATTTGATTTGTACAGAGGACTCCCACAAACCAAAAGCTTTTCTTTCAGCTAGGTATGAGCTATGTAGTAAAGGATGCTTAGATCAAATTAGCATTTTTCAATCATCTGGAAGATATTATTTTTACAGGCAATTATTAGCCCTTTTTTGCCTGCAGAACATTACATCATTAATCTATATCTTGCAATGCCATAAATATACCAATATTCCTGCTTAGTTGTTTATCTAAAGTGTATTGTCTGTAAGCGTTTAATATTAAACTTGCGTAGAACGCAATCATTATGAAAGTGTTACTTTGTATTTAGCAGCATCATATAACTTGTACTGATAAACATGGTTGTACTATTTAGCACTTGGACATTCTGCACCTATGAAATGTTAAAGAATAAAATTTGAATGATTAAAATACAAAACATCTAAAGACCATCACAGATGCAGAAAGCTACAGAGGAGCCACAAAAGGCTCTATTATGTTCCATTATTTTATTCGATTAAAAAAAAAAAAGTCAGCCAATGAAGAAATGAAACACCAAGAGAAATGTTTCACTATTTCTCCCTCCCTACCTTGTTTTCTGAGCTACATAACTTGTTCTTTGAGAATAAGTAGCAATTAAATCTACTTCTACATATTCCATGCAGAAAATCTTTCTACAATTCAGGGTTGTACAACTAAAAATATTAATAATTTTCTTCAGTATTCTAGAGCCAAATCAAAGTTGCTTTTACGGACAAAAAGTAATGGCTTTATTTACATGGACAAGACAGGGAAGTTCACTGGAATATGACAACATAAGCTCAAAACATCCCCAAGCTGCGTTCAGGAAGTGCTGTACAAAAGACTCTTCAGAGAAGCTAGGATTTGTTTTCATCCCCCACACTATAGAGACAATTTTGTCCGTTAGTTTTAAACCAAAACATACCAAAAGGAACAATTGTTAAATTATCTGTTAATTATACAAAATAAATGACAGAGAGGCACCAAGAAATAATGCTCAGAGCTCTACAGTTAGGGCTTATTTTTAATAGAAAGAAAAGTAGGTGTGCATAATCTGCTGGGATGCAATAACTTGACTGCTTAATTCTCAAGTTCCAAACTTCTCTTCCTCACAAAGTAATTTAACCATACAATATCCTTACTGAAGATAACTCTCTGGAACAGTACCATCTATTCAAGAACAATATAATGCCAAGAGCTTCAGAATGGTCATGTGTTCCCAACAATGAAAACAAAGTTTAGGGTATTACAAATATTAGACACCTAGTTCTGAGATGCTTCCAGCTGTATTTGTTGGACTAACTTTAACAGAAAAGTAGGAAAGTGAAATTTGACTTGATAATAGTCTCTCACTAGAACAGAAAAAAAGAAAGCTTACATTTCCTTTACTGGCAAAAACGCCCCAAGAGTGAATACATTAAAACTAAATAACTAAATATGCACTAGTTGTTTTTAGAAAAGTCTTTACTGCAAAATAACATTGAAGTAAACAATAGATAGCTATCATTTTTCCCCAAAATAAGAAATGCAAAGAAGAAAATAAGCTTGCTTGTATGCATACAGCTTCTCAAATCATGCTAGAAGGAGGCCTCACTTAATGATCAAGAAATTTTTTTTAATCAGTAATGGATTTTCATTTGAAGGAATTCAGTTTAACTCAATATTAAATATGAAAAATGGGCTTCTTGCAGTAATTTATCTGAAGCAGCAAAATTACCACCTATATTTTGGCATTTACACTTGCTCAGATCTTTTAAATTTCACAAAGCCATTATCCAGTGTTGCCATGAAATACAGATTGTAGACTCCAATACCAGTGTTAAGTTAACCTCCCCCCTAACCCCACCCCTCTCCCAAAAAAAACCCACAACCAACCATGAAGCAGGGCATTAAACTAATTTTCTTAAACTAGTATAGTTAGAGTGAAAACCTAGAAAACAGTTAACCTACAGTTTATAGAAGGAACTAAATATCTACAGAAGCTGATTTTTGACTGTATGTTATTTTAAATTGTGTGATTTTCCACGTTTGCCAATTTAAAGTAGACATGCTTGTATTTTTCCTTGCTCCATTTCCTATACCCCCCACACCAAATATTGTGAATGGGAGCCCAAATATCTCAGACAATCCAGTGAATGTTATTGTAATGCACTGGCATGAAGTATGAGATTAAAGTCTCTCCTTTTCAATCTTCATCAAAGTTCTGTTGTAGAAGAAAGTTGGCAGCCAAGTTTTCGTTCTTCTCACAAGCAAAATATGCTTGTATCACAAGTCCTTCAGGAAACCCTAATGCCTTTAGCTGAAGAAGAGAAACACATTTAGAAAACACAGTTCATACATTAAGATTCCTTGTGTGTTTAATAACCCAAGATTCCGCTTGAGCTAAACAGTGTTTATTTCCACAAACTAAAAATGGCTTAATTCAGTCTTTAGCAAATAAAGAATACCAAGAAGGAGTAGCCTAGTAACCACAATTAAGTTCTCACTTGAAAACATGACTTGAATGAGTTTAGCAAAGCACTTAACGTCACTTTGCTTTCACCGCCACAGTAAATTACTAAAACAGACCTGGGTCACAGCAACATTACAAAATAACCACATTGCACTGCTGCAGACAAAATTAACCTGAAACAAAGCACATTTTAAACCATGAATACAACAGTTCAGTATTTTTAACAAAAGGGGCCTGGAGCAACAACTCCCAGTCTGCGATTTGCAGATCACTGGTAGGTAGCCCAGATCACCACATTAAGCCATACTTTTAACTGCTCCAATAGGCTTTCATTTTCAGAAGTTTGATAACAAAGGTACAGCCATGAGAAATAAATTGATAATAGTCCATTGTTCGGAAGTGTGGGGACTAACATCTTCTGACATTATGACAATGGGGAAATCAGAATATAAGACAAGGGCTTGTTACTGTGCCAAGAATAGACTAAACTCATTTCACTTAGACACTCTATAAACCCATCTTTGTTTTAGCCAAACGCAAGTCAGTAAAGTGTCTTTTTCTGAAGATTTCCTTAAAAACCTCAGAGCACCTGCAAAATACTATGTATATACCAGATCAACTCTGTGAGAAACTAGATCCTGTTATCCCTTATCAACCATTATGAGTTTTAGTCTCACACTTCCAAACAGCACATATATATCAGTAGTAGCATCATGTAGGGCACTCAAGTTTTGAGATAGACCTTTGAGGAAGGGGAGAGCATACTGCACTCCTTGTGGGGTTTTGGAACAGATGAGGACTATAGCAGCTGTCAAACATTACAGGGTAAACCTAAGAGTTATTAACAAGCTATCTGAACATAGCTTTATACATGGCACATCTTAATCATGCACAAACCTTGGAATTAAGACCCTAGGGCAGCAGCCATATAACATTTCAAAGGAGGAAGGCTCACCCTCTCTATAGCTTCTTTTTCCTGAGGTGTTACTTGAATGTAGTTCATGTGACCACTTCCAGCTTCTGCTACTCCTTCACTACCACTGGCGCCACTACCACCTCCTCCTCCTCCACCTTGACTGGACTCTTGAACTGGCTCATTCAACATATGAATAAAATGCTCCTGGTGTTGGCTGATTTGCTGTGGTGCATGGGAGAACAAAAGGAAGCAACACACTGAATTAATGTTTAGTTCTGCCAATAGGTGACTAACAGTTTTAATTTTTGGTGAACTGAGTAGTCAAGAGAACAAGCTAAAAGCATTCAAAGAAGAGTGATTAAATCTAGCTAATCAGAAGAAATACAGTTTCATGGTTAAGTCCAGTTGCAGTGACTCTTCCTCTTCCTGATGCCCTCTACACCAGTCATTAAGGCATTGTTTTTAGACGTAATAGAAAACATGCCCTGGACAGCAACATCTACTGAAAAGACAATAGCATGTTGCAAACTGCTGCTAACATGTTATCCTAGTTAACATCAACATCTCCCTTTTTTTCCTGAAGTCACATCAATGTTAACAACATTATTTTATGACACTTAAAAAATCACCTGCAATAGTTGAGGGTTTTCCCGTCCTATCTGTTGTAGCAATGCTGGCAACAAAGAAGGATTTTGCTGAATAATTTGTCTCATCTGCTGAAACTGAGGCTGATTTCGTAAAAATTCAAGTGGATGTCCTGAAAAGCAGAGATGTACGTTTTTAAAAAGCAAGTTACCAAGACTTCTATGAAATAAAGATCTACCATATAAATGTAGATAAAATACAGCATTTTCAGTGTCAAGTTAGAAAGTAAAGAAGGTATATGATTTCATTTGAAGAAAAGCTTAAATTCTCATTTAAATTCACTGCAAAATTCCTTTCAAACTAACTCAAGTTTTCCAAATACTCAGTATCATAGCATCATCTGCAGACTAAGAAGGATGTCAAGGCCATGAGTGCACCAATTGATTTTAATTGTCCTGACCAGCCTCACCTAGGACCCCCCAGCCACACACCCTCTGCCCATGGCCCAGGAGCTCCATTTAAGTTCAGGCCTGGGAAGTCAGTCCTTGTCTGAGATATGCTATAGATAGGCCTGTTTCCAGCTAACCCTGACTCGCTCACTGGACTTCCTGGATTGACCCTCTTTATACAAATTATAGAGTGGACTTTAACCATCCTGATATCTGCTGGAAGGGCAATATGGCTGGGTGCAAGCAATCCAGGAAACTTTTGGATGTATTCAAAATGATTTATTGATACAGGTGATTGATGAACCAACTAGGGGAGATGCTCTGCTGGACCTGCTACTCGCAAACAAGGAAGAACTGTTGGATGATTTGAAGGTCAAGGGCAGCCTTGGCTGCAGTGACCATGAGATAGTGGAGCTTAAAATCCTGAGAGGAGTGAGCAAGACAAACAGCAGAATTACAACCCTGGCCTTCAGAAGAGAGATGTTAGTATCTACAGGGACCTGCTTGGCAGGATCCCATGGGAAACTGCCCAGGAGGACAAAGGGGCCCAGGAGAGCTGGTTAATCTTCATGGACAGCCTCCTCAAAGCACAAAAAGGGCCCACTCCAATGTGTAGGAAGTTGAGCAAGTATGGCTGAAGGCCAGCATGGGTGCACATGGAGCTCCTGACAGAGCTCAAACAAAAAGGAAGCGCACAGAAGGCAAAAGCAGGGACAGGCTACTTGGGAGGAATACAAAGACACTGCCTGCTCATGTAGGAATGGAGTCAGGAAAGCCAAAGCTCAGCTGGAGTTGAAACTACCAAGGCAAGTGAAGGGCAACAATAAATGTTTTTACAAGGACATCGGCAGCAAAAGAAAGGCTAAGGAGAGCATGGGCCTATTGCTCAGTGGGGCAGGAGACCTAGTGACAAGGGACATGGAAAAGGCTGAGGTACTCAATGCCTTTTTTGCCTCAGTTTTCACTGGTAAGGCTTGTCCTCAGGTCTTCCAGGTCCCTGGATTTCCTAGCAGAGTACGGGGGAGTGAAGCAGTACCCACAGTAGAGGAAAAAAGTTAGGGATCACTTAACCCACTTGGACATACACAAGTCCATGGAACCAGATGGAATGCATCCAAGGGTGCTGAGGGAGCTGACTGATGCCAGTGTGAGGCTGCTCTCTATTATATTTGAAGGGTTGTGGCAATGGAGGGGAGGATCTTGATGAATGGAAAAAGGCAGATGTCACACCTATCTTCAAGAAGGAAGGTCTAGGGAACTGCAGGCTAGTCGACCTCACCTCAGTCCCTGGGAAGGTTATGGAGCAAATCCTCTTAGAAGCCATTTCTAAACACACAAAGGACAAGGTGATTGCAAACAGCCAACATGGGTTAACGGAGGGCAAATCAAGCCTGACCAACCTCATTACTTTCTATGATGAGGTGACTGGTGCTGTGGACAGGGGGAGGAGTGGATATTGTATACCTTGACTTTAGGAAGGCCTTTGACAGTCTCACAATCACCAAATTAGTGGGATATGGGATGGACAAATGAATGAGTCTGGCAGTCCTGCCAATTGTCCACCCACCTTATCAAAGAGCTGTGATCAATGGTGCGAAGTCCAGCTAGGGGCCAGTAACTAGTGGCATCCCTCAGGGATCGATAGTGGGATCAATACTTCTTAATGTCTTCATTATTGACCTGGATGATAGGACAGAGTGCACTCTCAGCAAGTTTGCAGATGACACCAAATTGGCTAGGGGGGGAGATGATCAATATGCTGAAAGGCAGGGCTGCCATTCAGAGGGACCTGGACAGGCTGGAGAAATGGGCTGGTAGGAACCTCATCAGTTTCAAGAATTGCAAGTGCAAGATCTTGCATCTGGGATGAAATAACACCATGCAATAAGACAGGCTGAGACCAACTAGCTAAGAAGCAGCTCTGCAGAAAAGGATCTGGAGGTCCTTGAGGACAAGTTGAACAGAAGTCAGCAGTGTGCCCTTGCAGCCAAGAAGGCCAACTGCATCCTGGGCTGTATTAGCCAGTATAACCAGCAGGTACAGGGAAGTGATCCTTCCTCCCTATTCAGCACTTGTGAGACTGCATCTGGAGAAGTGTGTCCAGTTTTGGGCTCCCCACTACAAGAAGGATATTGACATACTGGAGTGAGTCCAGCCACCAAGCTGGTCAGTGGCCTGGAGCACGTCATACGAGAAGAGGCTGAGAAAACTGGGCCTGTTCAGTCTGGAGAAGAGAAGGCTGAGGGGAGACCTTGTTGCTGTCTAGAACTATCTGATTGGAGGATACAGAGAAGATGGAGCCAGGCTCTTCTTGGAAGCGCACATAGATAGGATGAGAGGCAACAGGCACAAGTTGGAACATGGGAAATTCCAATTAGATATTAAGGAAAAACTTTTTACCGTGAGGGTGGTTAAATACTGGAACAAGCGGCCCAGAGAGTTTGTGGAATTTCCTGCCCTTGGAAGAGTTCAAGGCTTGACCTGAGCAACCTGATCTAATTAGACCTGTTTTGCGCAGGGGGTTGGACTAGATGACCTCTGGAGGTTCCTTCCAACCTAAATTATGATTCTATGACCTTAGACCTGACTCATCACCTCCCATGTGTCTGATGATCACTGAACTGTCAACAGAACCTTTCACTGCCACTAACCCAGCTCTGCTCAGCTACGGTGGGACTGCACTGTGTTGGTGATGGCACACTGTCCCTGCCTGTGCTGGGGGTCACCCTCAGCTCCCATATTGCCTTACCTCATGGGGCAGCCCCCATCTTACTCTTCTCTGACATTTGATAGCTTAACTGATCTCACATGTAAGTGGTCAAAAGACCTGCACTGGTGAAAAAAGAGTTTACTTCCTCACACTGACTCATTCTGCAGCTTTAACAAAGAATCCTTTCTACCAAAGTTAGTGTTGCTTCTTCTCAGCCAGCTTTTTCCAGATCTCACAGGGCTCTGTCGATTCCCTGCACTTTTCTTTTCATCCCTCATCTCTGGGTAATGTCATCTGGAGACATACATCCATCTTTAGAACTCTATTGTTGGCACATCCTCTGTATTAGATCACTCTCTCTCAATTCAGTCTTGGCTCTCTGACATTTCTTAGTTGATTAGAAATCACCTTAAATTAAGGGCATTTTCTGCTGTGTTGAAATAGCACATTCTCTACTCATGGAGTACATCAAACGCTTTAGTCTCTATCAGGATTTAAGTTTTGGCAATTCTTTGTGACATACATTAACTAAGGTTTTTCCTAACCATGCATCATGCTTCCTTCATGTATTCATTTGTTCTTTCTTAAACTAAGTTCTCTGAGGGCAGGCACTATTCCACTCTATGAGGTGCACTGCAGAGTGGTTCCTGAATGGATCCCTCAGGCACTATACCTGATTGCCTTTATCACATGCTTTCCCCCTCCTCCCAAATGATCACTGCATTAATATTCACACTCAGCAAGTCCCACACTGAGCCAAAACATTAAGAAGCCAGGGCATGAGGTGGGGATGGGGGGTGTTAACCAAAACCATCCTTATGTATGGTTTTAAGTTTAACCTGAAATACTGGATCACAGAAGCAGGGCAGGATCACAGCAACATTAGAAGTTAGAAGCAGTATTACAGACACACCCACACAAGTAGATTTCTTCCTGGCAAGACAACACTTTTCATTTTACTGCTCTTATCCGATTCACTTAAATCAGTTCACAACCCCTGGGTGAACTGATTTAAAGTCACTGAAGCACAGAATGCTTAGGTGCATATGTTTATCAGCTCCTCTCAAACACAATCTCTCTTACCTCCTGAAGAGCTAGTAGTCATTGTTGTAGATGCTGCTGCTGCCGCCGCTGCTGAAGACTGAGAAACAGTGCTAGCCGTGTGAGGGGGATCAGCCAAAGCCTGATTATCTCCAGGGATACCCTAGTCACAAATCACGTTTTTATTTACAGCATGCTCAAAAATATTTGTTTTACTGCACATACTGTTTAATTCACAGAATGAAGCGTAATGCTTTCACTGTGAATATGAAGTGCACAGCCTAGGAAACAAGCAGGAGAAACTAGAACTAGAAATACAAATCTTGCTGTCCAATAAATATGTTAATGAGAACACTGAACATGATGAGTAACAAAGATGAACCTAAAGGTTAAAAATGCCCTTGTAATGTTATAGATACTAGTAGAAAAATGCAGTGGCTATTGTTACTGAGAGGTTACAAATTTTAAGAATCATTCTTTGAGCTGGCCATAGACAGTTACAGCATGAGATTCAAACTAGTCATACTTTCTATGTTGATTTGTATGATTATGTATATAATAAAAGCAAAAAAGTGATAGAAGCAGCTAAGATGACTTTAATATTTCCTCTAAAACAGTAGGATTCTCAAAAATCCATACCTCAGGCCTTCCAGATGCCCTTATAGTTACTGTTCCTTTATGAACTTATATTCCTCTTACAGATTGTGCAATGTTCAAAATATCAAGTAAATCAAAGTTAAAATTCCTCTGTAATGAGGAAAAAAGTGAAACAAAAATCTAGGAAAAATAAGCTGCTCACCATTAAGAGGTATTCCACTGCTCTGTCAGGATTGTTGAAGCTGGCTCTCAGTGCTGCAATTACTTGTTCCCGTTCATAACCCATTGACATGATCTCACTCACCATATTTTCATAGGACTGACCTGTCACTAGAAGATCACCATTTTACAGGAGAAAAGGAGCACAAGTTTTAATTTAGAAATGCCACTTTTAACC